AAGCGGGAGAGGTTAAATCCCGGTGTCCGGAACGGCGGCCGGGCCCTGCAGCGTGAGCCCGGCCCCGCGGCCGCCGTGCCAGGCGCCGGCCCGGCCCGCACAAATACAGCCCGGTCGTGACCATCTTGATTAGCCCCGCGGCTGCTGGGCTCGCGCATGCACCCTGTGCCTTTGCAAGGTGCAATCTCCTCTGGGGACACCCAGACTGACACCTGCTAGGAATAAATCTGTGACCCTGAGACCCCTCTGTCACGTTGCTTCCGTCCCAACAAGGCAGCGTGGCCTGGTCAGTGATGGAAAGCACCCGGAGACTGCGGGGTTCAGGAGAGGCCCAGCTGGTGTTTGGGAGGGTGAAGGACAAAGATTTTAATAGAGGCCCTAAACCCCTGCAAGACGTTTTTCTGTTGGGAAATAATTGCACGCAGCTGCCTGTTCCCAAAGTATGTCGGCATCCTGGTTGCACAACCCAGGCAACAGGAACGCGGGCACCGGGCTCCTTAAAAAACACTGCGTGAGATGGGATTGATGGAAAAGCTGCTGCTCTAAGACATGTAGCTCGGGGCCCAAATACGTCCGCTCTCACTCTCCCGCCATTTCACGCAAATTTCCTTTGTACACATTCCTATTTCAGACAGAAAGGTGGATGTGATGTAAAACAGGGAGGGGAACTGACCGGCTATTGTGTTTGTAAAACTTGCCCAGGGCTTTGGAGGGCAATTACAGTGTCAGCAATATAATGATTCCCTGCCTAAGTAAATTAATTGGCAGATTTTTCTGCAAGCTTTGTGATGCTTCCCGGCCTTCCGTCTTGCCATCGTTCCTGCAGGATCGAAGGAGACTGCTGGCCTGAGGAGCACCCAAGCTGCTGCCCCGGGCTCTCTCTGCAAACCCAGGGCTCTTCATGAGGCCCCTCTCCGTGGAGAAGAGCAGGAAAAACCTCCCCAGGGCTTAATGCAGGGAGCCGGTTTTATAGGGCTCGCTATCTCCCGCGAGATAAGGGATCTGGCACCCGCGCACGAGCGCGACCCCCGCGAGCTGCGGCCGAGGGAACCCGCAACCGAGGGAACCCGCGCGCCGCTCCCCGCGGCCGCCCCGTTACGGGGCGCCTCGTCTGCACCCCCGTTCTGCCCCGACGCTCCCTGGAGGAGTTAAATTCCCGTGTCGCGGTCAAATTCCATCTTGGCAAAGCCGTGCTCTTCCCGCCTACCATTTTCTCTGCTCCTCTACAACATGCAGCTATTACTGCGTGTTTTTAATTCCTCTGACGAAGGCGACTATGCAGCTCAGTCGAGAGCTGCTTTTGGGGCAGTTTATTTCGATGTGTTCAGTAACAGGGGAAGTGGTTTTGATTTCAGAGCAAACCTCTTACTGGTCGCTCTTGTTTCTGAGCTGCTTTGGAACCTATTTGGGATGAAAAAGGCAAAGTTCCTCTAAAATTGGTCCTCACCGGGTCTGTGTGAGCTGTTAGGAATTGAAAACCTGAGTGGAGAGACCCCCTGCAATCCACAAAGCGCTGTTGTCCCTGTCCCCGCTCGCCAACCCTGCGGAGCAGCCCCAGGGGCTCCCTCGGCTCCCTGCAACCGGAGCAGCGCGGGATGCGAGCGCGGGAATCGCACTGTGTTTTCGATGGTGTGTGACCAGCGCACCAGCGAATCCTGAACCAAAGCGGAGGAGAGAGGAATATGGAAGTGCTTTTCCCTCCTCCTTGTACGTGGAAGCCTTTGACATAAAGCACCGCAGCGACAAGCTGCCCGAGGCCGCTCTCCTCGCTCGCACGCGCTCACCTGTCATACACCACGTTCTTGCAGTTCAGGATAACCGTGATTCCCGAGACCGATGCCATCGTCGCTTGGACCATCGACACCAACCTGGAAGCGGGAGCGGAAGCGGGTCAGAGCCGGGGCCGCCCTGTCACGGCCCGGGCAGGGTGTCCTGGGTGCGGGCCCGGTGACGCCAAGGGAGCTGTTAGCACTTAGCCGCCTACTCCGTGCACGCCCGGGAGCCTCCTAATGGTGCCCACTCGAGCGGGGCACGTGGGGCGAGCGGCTCGGGCACGTTCTGCGTGGGCTGCCGGGTCACAGCGCGTCAGGGACAGCCGGTGACTTTGTTTCCAAGACGCGCATCCCCTTGTCACCAACATGGCGTGAGTCACCCCTGTTTTCCCAATGGGGAACGATGCGCTGGAGTGTCCCCGCTCCCCAGTGCTGCCGTGTGAGGGGAGATGGGTCCCATGCGTCGCTGCTTGGCGTGGGCATGGCCTGCGCCGCCACGGGGTCCCTGGGTGTCATCAGGAGCGTGGCCGTGGGCTGTCCCCATGGGCTGCTGCTGCGGGGGGGCTGCACCATTGGGTTGCTCTGGGTGGGGGTCCAGCACCGCCGTGGGTCTGAGTGCCCCACACCCGTGGGTGTTGGGCTTGGGACCAGGGATGGGGGCTTGGGATACTTGCAGATCCCGGGCTCTGGACACCCGTGGGTCCCACATCGGGACACCCGTGGGTTCTGGGCTCTGGACATCCGTCAGTCCCAGCTCTGGCCTCCCGTGGATCCGGGGCTTTGGACACCCATGGGTCCCAGACACCATGGATCCGATCCCCACACCCCCATGCGTGCCGGGCTCTGGACACCCACGAGTCCCCGTTCTGGACACCTACGCATCCGCGCTCCAGACCCCCGTGATTCCCACGCCCTGGACACCCCCGTGTGCGGCGCCAGAGCCCGCGCTGCCGCCAGCGCTGCCGCCCGGGGCGGCTCCG